ACACACACACACACACACACACACACACACACACACACGCATACAGGCGCCCAAACAGACAGGGAGCTGTAGCGGCATGCGTAGATGCACACGTTACCTCCCTCCTATTTCACTCGCTGCTCTTCGCTTTTGCCACTTTCGTTTTTTATTAAAAGATCTTTTGTGTTATTGTGTTGTTTCGTCTTGTTATTTTTTTTTTTTGCGTTTTGTTTTTTTGCTTTCTTTTTGATTTTGATGCTGCAAGAGTCGCTTCCCCCCCCCCCCGCCGCCAAAGACGCAGAGAGAGAGAGAGAGAGAGCGTGAGAAAAAGGCGAACGCCCTCACAAGGAGGCGTTGCCGTTGCGCACCACGTCGTCAATGGCGTCGACAAGCAGTTCCACCGTCCCCTTCGTCAGGCTGGCCATGTTCGCCCGGCTTGACTTCAGCACAAATACGCGCTTCTCGATGAGCCGCTCGCACTGGGCCCTGGTGAGGCCAAGGTAGGAGAACATGCCCACCTGCTTGATAACGTGCTCCCAGCTGCCGGGGGTGCCGCGCTGCTTCAGTCCGTTGTACACGTCGTGGCGCATCTCCTGCACGCGCTGCGACATCCCGCGCAGCTCCTCCTCCCACTCTGCGCGGAGTTCAGGGTCGCTTAAGACGAGGTGCGCCACACGGGCGCCGTGCGACGGCGGGCTGGAGTACAGGCTACGTGCGATGTGCTCAAACTGCGACTTGATCACGCACGCCTTGGCGGGGCTGGCGGTGACGACGGAGCAAACGCCCACGCGCTCCGAGTACAGTCCCATGTTCTTTGAATACGACTGCGCCACCAGCATTTCCATGCCCTGTCGCGCGAAGAGGCGAACCGCGTAGGCGTCGTTCTCAAGGTTGCCGGTGGCGTAGCCCTGGTACGCGGAGTCAAAGAAGGGAATGAGGCGCCGTGCCTTGAACAGCTTGGCAATTTCGGCCCACTGCTTGTGGGTCGGGTCCACACCCGTCGGGTTGTGCGCGCAGGCGTGCAGGATGACGACGCTGCCCGCCGGCGCCGCGCCGAGGTCGGCCATGAGGCCATCGAAGTCAAGTCCGCAGCGGGCGGCGTCGTAGTAGCGGTACTGGCGCAGGTCGGTCATGCCAGCCGCGGCCATCACGGCGTAGTGGTTGGGCCAGGTTGGGTCGGAAATGTACACGGGCGGCCTCGGCGAGAGGGCGTGGGAGAGGAAAAACGCGCCGAGGCAGAGCGAGCCGGTGCCGCTCAGTCCCTGCGCCCCCACCACCTTTTCGCGCGTCACGCTGTCGCCGTAGACGAGCTTTATCGACTCCTCAATGAACGGCGCAAACCCTGCCATGGGAAGGTACTCCTTGTCGACATTCATGTCGAGGAGGCGGCGTTCGGCCTTCCGCACAACCCTGAGCGGGTACGGGCGGCCTTCCGCGTCGCGGTAGGCGCCAATGATGAGGTCGGCCTTCGGCTCCTGCGCCTTCTTTGCCTGCGCGGCGATGGAGAAAATGGCGTCTGCCGGCATGGCAGCCACGCCGTCCCAGAGGCTTTCTTGTGCCATTTATTCTGCTTGTGTTTTGTTTAGTGTTCCGTGTGATGTATTCTATTGGTTTTTGTTTTTGTAGAGAATGAAAGAGAAAAGAAAGGGAGTTCACAAGCCCACAAGGAATGTGGAGGCGCAGGCGGCGACACGGTGGGTACGGGAGCACACTTTGCACAGCCCATCTACGCAGAGGACACACACACACACACACGTGCACGCAGCTGCTACGCCACCCCCTGCTACAAGCTGCATTCCAGACAGTACGCGTGCATTGTGGGGCGGCAGCCACGCCACAAGCCGAGAAAACGGAGGCCCAGACAAAAGAGAGAGGACGGCAGGTATATATATATATATATCTATATAAGTAGTGGGAGAGGGACCGCAGCTGACAACAGCAACAATCCCTTCCTCCTCCTCCTCTCCAAATGAAACATTAGCAAGCACGACACTTGGGACCAGTGAGTGGCCCATTCTGGGCACACACACAGACACACATATATATATATCTTTCGCTGGAATATCCCACTAGAGCGGCAACCTCAGGGAGGGCGCAGGAAAGAGACTACCTCCAATGCATGGCGTCGGCAAAGTTGGGTGGATCTCCCACACCGAGCCATTTTCCACATTCGAGTGTCCCTCTTCCTTTTCTCGTCGTTGCTGCAGCTGCTGCTGGTACTCCGTTGCAAGCTCCCGCGCCTTGGCAATGGCCTCACTCACAGGTACAGCGTGGAGCCGCAGCTGAGAAGCCTGGAGGAGGACAGACTCCAGCTGCTCACGGCGGTGGGGCGTGCGTCGGTCGGAGATGCGCAGCGCCACGATGGGGTCGACGAGGCTCAAGGTGAGCGGCTTCGGCTGCGGCTGCGGAGTCTCACCGCCACCCCCGCACCGCTCCCCAAAAGATGGCAGCCACCCCGGGAGGTTGTGGGGCGCAGGAGAAGTAGTCGGGCCCCCAACGGAGCTGCCCAACGGAGGAGTTGCGCCGTCGGCGACGGCAGCTGCGCCAAGTCGGGTGAAGGAGAGAGACTCCATCACGGCAAGCAGAAGTTCGCCCCGCGACCGCCGCGCCTTGGGCTCCCCGCCGCGGCGACAGACGGCGTCAGGCGGCGCCTGCTCCGTGACGCCGCCGTGGCTGCGGCCCCGCTCCCGTTCCAGCACACACCCGGTAAGCTCGCGAAGGTGACGCGCCACCGCGGCAACGTCCAGGTCTCTGTGGAAGACAAATTGTCCCGCGCACTCCGGGGAGCGAGCGTCCTCCGCAGACGCCACCCGTCGCAGTTGCGGATGTGACGGGGCCACGGCGTCGGCAAACGCGGACCACTCCTCCTCCTCCTCCTCCTCATCGCCGCCGCCGTCAGCACCGTCCTCATCGCGGCGGTCCTCCTCACGCCGCGCTACTTCGTTAACGGGCTGCCGCTTCGCTTCTTCCATGGCGTGCGGCGGCGGCCCCGCGCCCGGGCCGAGAGCGACCTCCACGAACTCCCCAAATTCATCATCGTCGTCGTCCACTTCAGGACCCACGGCATTCGGTGGCGGCGTCGCGGGTGAGGCACTGTCTGCCCTTTCAACGGGTTCCACGCTGCCCTGCAGGTGCGCGGCACGCGCGCCAGAGTCGCTCCCCTCCGTCTCTCCCGAGGCACTGCTAAGGCGCGGCGGCGGCCGCAACGCCGTGACATTTTCTCCCGCCCCATCGTTATGAGGCGGGCTACCAAGACGATGCGTGTCCGGCCCCATGAGAGCGGCAGTATGCGCAGGCTTGGGTCCCCTGTCGGGCGCCGGTGGGGCGTGAATGTGACCGCTTGTGCAGGAGCCGACACTCCGCTCGTCCGCGCCACTAACTTCCAGCGACGCCGGCGACATCGTCGCACCCCTTTCAGGCGCAGAGGAGTTGCCCTCCACCGAAGTCGTGCAGCGACCCCCCAGCCTATGGATAGTGGGGCTCGAAGAAGCAATTAGCGCGGGCGTCTCAGGTAAAAGCTGCGCTCCGTCAGTCGCGTGGTCATACTGTGAGGCCTTCTTCCGCCCGTTTTTGACTGCCAGGCTTGTGGCTGTTGGGGCCGGTGGCTCCTCGCCGTCCCCCGCACCCCTCAGCGGCGTGGACGCGTGCCCATTAAAACTACTCGCGGGCGCCGTCTTCCCGCCCGCCGCCGCCGCACCCGGAGCGGCCATCGCCTCAAAGAACTGACCGAACTCATCCTCCGTGTCGCCCGCCACAAGGGGACCGGCGTCGTCGTCGCTGCCGCGTGGCCGCCGGACGCTGCTCCCTGCCGCCCCACCGCACGCCAGCAGCGCCGTCGACGCCTTTCGAGACGGCGTCGGGGTCTGCATCCTACAGGTGTGCGGGTTTGTGGGGAACACGCACGGTGAAAACACCACAAGAACAAAAACAACAAACCCCCAAGAATAAAAAAAAGAAGGCAAGCACACACTCACACACGCAGAAACAACGAAGGAGGGAAAAGAGAACATTCGTCTGGTCTCAGTGAGAGGGGAGAACGGACCCAGCAGGCCGTAGTCACCTCACTGGGACAGAGCACACGAGGGAAGAACACCCCCACATCCCACGGGGTTCAGCTCACGCAAAAATCATCGTTCATAACTTGCGGGCGACGAAGTTCGCGGCGCGCCTTCTCCTTTTCTGACGGTCAAAAAAAAAAAAGAGCGAAGATGCTCTACCCCTTGCAAATATCGCCCCAAGGCATGATGTTGCTAACTCTATGGCAATCTTGTTAGCTTCCCACGCCGCCCCCCTTCGGCGAACAAGGGCGACGCGTGTCCACGGCGTCGTTGTAGAGGGCAGCAATTTTGCTCTTGAGCTGCGCCTTGATTATTTCATCTGTCGGCATCTTCCGCAGCTGCACGGCGGGGGCTCGCGCCAGCGTGGTAGCGGCTGCCTCTGGCGAACGTGCACAAGTGTCTGGAGGCCAGGCTGCATCTGTGCGCGGCGACGAGCACGGCGACGCCTCACGCGGCGGTGGGGCGGCCAACGCAGTTGCCGCCCTGTCGTCACCCGCGTCGGTCTCCCAGCCTTCCCCCTCCTCGTCGTTGCCCGCGGCGGAGACCGCTCGCGTCCGCGACGCGCTAAGCTCAGTAGGAGTGCGTTGGCTGTCGTGGGCGGTTGGGCGGTCAGCCGCCGCCGCCGCCGGAGGGTTCTGCGTGCGTGTCGCCCCTCCCGTCTTGGAGGGGCCTCGCGCTTCCGCAAGGACTTCTGCCCCGGTCGCTACAACGGCGTGGCGCGCGAGCCCGCGGCGGCGCAGTGCCGCCGACTGCTGCGGGTTAGGAGACATCGCCGTGGCGCTTTGCTCGGGGAAAACGCATGGCAGGGGCGCCACTTTGCGGCAGCGGTGCCGCACCACCGCGGCGCGGGCCCCAGGGCCAACGTCCTCCGCGGGCGCGGGAGAAGGCGCGGCAGGCGCAGCCCGGGAAGCCGCAGCTCCACGGCAGTGCTGTTCCACCTGCCACGTGATAGCAGCGAGTTTGCTTGCCAACAGCTCTTTGTACTCCTCCCGCAAGGCGTCGAGAACGGCGTCACGGGCGCGCTCGTTTTCCTCCTCCCTTCCTCGCAGGAACTCACGGAGCTCATTGCGTCTCATCGGCGCCAAGTTTTTATATATATTTTTTGCTTCGCCTCCTGCTGCCGCTGGTGCTGGCGTGGGCAATGCACTCCTCCACCTTCCAGTTGAAACACGCCAGGTGCACACATCCGGAGAGAGAAAAGAAGCAAAAGAAGGAAATAAAGGAGAAAGGGGGAGGAGGGACACAGGCGGACGAGATACCAACGACAGCAGCAAGACAGTTGTCGCAGATAAACCCCTCTTGCGCCGTCCTACCCGCCTCTCCGCCTCCTCCAGCCGCCGCACGCACGCCCACAATGGGACCGTGAAGGCCGTTTATGTACACAACTCCCGCCCCTCCCTCACTTTTTTTTTTTTTAATTCTCTCTCTCCGTCTGTCTGTGTGGACACGCACGCCTTTCCTCCTACCCTTTTTTTCCTCGGCGCCCCTTAACCGACGCGGCGGTTGTGCAGCGCGCGCTCGCCCTCCTCCAGGAAATCCGCCCGACTCACAAGCATCTCCTGCGGGAACGTCGAGAGCCGTGTGAGAAACGATGCGCCCAGCCACGCCGTGTGGGACCGTTCTGCCGGCGCCGAGACCCGCACCTTGCAGTTCCGCGGGGTGAGCTGCAGCAGCTCCGCAAGGAAGCGCTGCCCGAATCCGCTGAGCAGCGTCGAGCCACCTGTTAAATAGACGTGCTCGCACAGCTCCGCGCGAAGCTCAAGGTCAGCCACTCGCACCGCGTTAGCGACGAGCTCCGCCACGCCGACGTGCTCATTCCCAAGCAGAGCGGGGTTGAACAGCACCTCCGGAGCCTGCAGCAACTCATACCCGAGCGTCAGCTCCGTGCCGTCGGGCAGGCGGTGCCTCTTTGGCGGTGCCGCGGCAACGGCCTGCGCAAAACTCAGCAGGGAGGTATCGCCGTCGCCATCCTCGCCTGCCGCTCCCCCCGCATCAGGCGCAGGGATTGCGCTTGTTGGGACGCGGTGTGGACTCACCTCGCAGCGCTGCTCCTTGATGGCGCGCACCAGCTCACGCTCGGCGCCGCAGCGCGACGGATTGAACTGCCGGGCCACGGCGCCGCGGCCCCCTTCACATGCAACGTTGTAGCTGCCGTACTCGCGTAGCAGGCGCTGCAGGTACTGTGTGACGGCGCCGCCGCCAAAGTCCTCCCGCTGCATCATCGCCGTGACGGCGTACCCCTGCACCGCCGCCGCCACGGAGGCAACGCCCTCCCCAACGTCCAGCACCACCCCTGTCGTGTTGCCTGTGGCGTAGAGTGAGAGGAGGGGGGCAACGCCGACGCACATGCCGGCGACCGAATTCTCCTCAAAAAGCACCTGCGCCACACGCGCGCGCTGTGGGCGAGAACTAAAGGGGTGCTCCACCCAGAAAACATTCCGCTCGGCGAGGGGGGTGTCCAGCTGCTGCTCGATGTGCCGCAGCAGCAGGTGCCAGGCATCCCAGTCGACGATGCTCCCGTGCTGGATGGGGTACGAGAGGTGCAGCAGGCCGCGACGCTCCGCCGCGGCGTTCCCCACGGCCACCGCCGCATTGCCAGGCAACGTCTGAAACAACGGCTTGTACTTTGCACGACCGGCCAGCGACGGAAAAGAGTTGGGGACGGTGGCGGTGCTACACGCCGCCTTCACACTACTAGAGCCGGCGTCCAACACGATGGCACTCTGCATCTGTGATCCGTCGCCAGCTCAGACCCCAACACACACACACACACACACACACACACAGCCGCCTGCGGCGCTGCCTCTTCCCCGGCTGTGGCGAGAGGCTCTCAATGCCTCCAATGCCTCTATTTACGAGTTTCCTTTTTTCCCTTCTTAATGTCTCAACCCCCCACCCCCGCCCACCAGCTGCCTCCTCTCGTTCGTGCCGTTGCTCGTCCTCGCGCGTTTTGCTTCGCGGCGGCCGATGCCCCACGCTGCCGGGAGGGGACGCAACTCCCCCACACACACGCGCTCTCTGTCGCTGTCGCAGCGGCGGGCAAAGAGGGAAGGAGAGAAGACACGGCAGCGCGTCATCCGGAAGCCGCGGGCACCGCGGAGTGCGCCTCGCGCGCGCAGCACACACGCAGATGGAGAGAGACAGAGAGCGGCCCACAGCGAGCCAACGCCAAAGTGCAGTCGGCACGGAACTAAAAAGCGATAAATAATTATATAAACAGACAGTCAAAAAACAAAAACAAAGGGAAGTGATACAACAGCAATGTGGACGTCGTGACTTTACCATCCACCATGCGTCTCACCCTGCACGACATCGCCGAGGTGCACTGCCCCTTTACCGCAAGGCATCCGTCCAGATGTTTGGTCTGCAACGGCGGCGATGCTCACGGGAGCGGCGCTTCTTCCCCCGCGTGCGTGTGTTTTTCTTTTCCTTCTCTTTTCCCTCCTCCTCCTCCTCCTCACTTCACTGGGCCGCGCGGGGGAGATCCGCGAGGGAGGCCAAACGTGCACTGAGTTCTTTGTCGGTACGGAGAGCTTTCTTCAGCGGTGTCCTCCTGCCGTGCCGACAGCTCGTCGCCCGCGCCACTTGCGAGGGGAGCGTGACACCGCCAGCATCCGCAATTGCCGTCAGTGACGGCGGCGGCGCGAGAAAAAAGGGCCGTGTGGAGGCGTGTGTGCTGCGCGGCCGCTGCTGAAGGAGCTCCTCCAGCAGCGCAATATTGCGCTGATGCTGCAGGACAACTTTGTGTGAGAGTTCCTCCCCCTCCAGCCGCTGCTGCTTCTCGCGAGCAGGGACGCCTGCAGCGCGGCTACAGTCGCCGCTGAGCCAGGAACCGTTTGCACAGCGTCACCGCCGCCCCACGTGGGGTTTGTCGCAGGCGAAGATGCCGCCAAATCACTGTCGTCGTGTGCCCGCGCTGCAGCTTCGCTCCCTGCGTCGTGCGCGACGGTGCCGCCGCCACGCAGCGTGGAACGCAGTCGGGTGTTTTCACGCAGCAGTGCGTCTAACTGCTGCTGCATGCTGTGATGCATCCACCGCACCACGGCGTTTCCCTCAACTTGCATCGTGTGCAGCAGCTGCAGCGCCTTATTGCGGTCTTGCACCGTCTTCCGCAGTTCGGCGTGGCTGCCGCAGCCGACACCGCCGTCCTGGCGCGCGGTGGGCTGCTGCATCAAGGCAACGAGAACACGCTCCGTTTCCTTCTGTCGGGCAACAAGGCTCTCAGTCTGCCCCCACTTGTGCAGCATGCCCTGCAGCTTCCCCGCAACCTCGCCCCGCACAACACCGAGGCGCACGGGCCCGCCAGTTCAGGCCTGTCGCGTGTGGTTCACTTCGCTTTGCGGTTGTGTGTGCGTGTGTGTGGTGTGCTGCCGCTCCTTGTAGGCATTACAGTCACTCCCACACGCACTGGGAGAAAGAGGCAGAGACAGAAGGGAAAAGGTCTGCGGCAGGCAAAAAAAAAACAACAACAAGGCAGTGGACGGAAAGAGCGAGGGACGCCAAACACACACACACACAGAAACGCGGCGCACGACATTTACCACTCTTGGGACGGAAGCGGAGACGAAAAGCGCGGGGGCCGAGCAAGGAAAGAAAGAAAGCAGAGAAACAAGAGCGTCTTCCGCTTCCACCGATTCCTTTGCCTAATGTTGTGTGTTTGTGTTTCCTTCATTACGCCTCGTGCCGTTCTTCCCTTCCGCCGGCTGCCTCGCCCCGCTTCGCCTCGTCGCGTGGGGGCTGCTCTTGCTGCTGCTGCTGCTGCTGCTGCGAGGAGGCCTCGAGGAAGCGTTGCCACAGCAGGGCGAGTTTGCAGATTTCCTCGGCCGTCAGGTCCAAGACGGTCAGTGCCCCGTCCACCCGCAGCTCCTGCAGCATGTACTGCGCCACCTCTGCCGGGACGCACTTCAGCAGCGCCTTGTGCACCGTCATGCCGCGGTGCCCCGGCTTCATCAGTAGGTCGGTGAAGTGCATCAGCGTGGCGGCGTCCATCGCCGGCACGAGCGGCGCGGAGCGGGGCTGCAGCGTCAGCATCGCCCCCAGCACCTCGGTCTTTGGGTAGTACGTCATCTCCCTAAACGTCTGCCGCAGCTGGACGTGGAAGAAGCACTGGCACAGCACCGACAGGCGTGAGAAGTGGATGGAGCCGGCGGGGGCAATGATGCGCTCCGCAATCTCCTTCTGGGTGAAGACGTGCAGCGGGACGCGCCCAAAGACGAACAAATTTTGCCTGCGCGAGCAATCCACGGCGTACCGCATCAGCAGCTCCGTGATGACGTCAAAGGGGAGATTCGCCACGACCTCCACCTTCGCGTCCCCGTCGGACCACCAGCGATCCGTTACGGCAAAGGCGGCGGCACTGCCACCACGACTACCGCCGCCCTCACGCGCTGGGTCGTGGTTAAACCCGGCAGCGCTCCCAAAACGCCTCCGCAAAATGCGCTCGCGCCGGGCGTTTCGCAGCGGGGCGCCCTCATACCCCTCACCGCCACCGCCATCGCCACAGTCGTCGTCGTCGTTTTCGTGGTGGGTTCCCGCCGCCGCGCTTGCCGCCTCCTCCCCGCCGTCCGCGTGCACGGCGGCCCGTCGGCGCCGGTGCTGCTCAACAAAGCTGGGGAAGGTCGAGCGCAGCAGCTCCAGCTCATTCACGCGGAGCACGTCGGCATTCACCCAATGAAACTTCCCATTCGTGTACTGCCGGATCTGCTCCAGGTGGGCGTTGAACCGCTCGTCCGCCTCGACGCCCAACACGGCGACGCAGGGCCGCGTCAGCAGACTCCGCGTGAGCGCCCCGGTGCCGGGGCCGAGCTCGATCAACAACTTGTCGTGCGTCTTGAGCGTCGTGCGGCTGAGGTGGGAGACGATCTGGTGCGTGAGCTTCAGGTTGAGGATGAAGCGCTGGTCGTACTTCGCCAGGTAGCCGGCGTGGGGGACCTTGAAGAGGTGCTTCAGCCCCTCCGCCTTCACCCGCGGCCCGCCAGGGCAGCGCAGCGGCGCGAGCGCCACGCCGTCGCAGCGGTTGGCGTTCCTGCGGCTTCCGCCGGGCGACGCCGACGAGGACTGCGACCGCCAGCTGCAGCAAAAGACGCCCGCGGCGGCGGTAACAACGCACGGCGGCGCGGCGGCGCAGCGCCCCAGACGCGGCATGCGGGGAGGCATGGGACGAGAGGAGGGAACGACCAACCAGCCACGTTGCCCGGAGTGGCGTGGGCCTGAGGCAACGCTGACGGGCCGCCGCGGGAGCTTAAAGGGGCCGGGCAAACACACCCGCGAGGCGGGAGAGAGAAGGCAAAGGGCAAATAAGAAAAGGAGAACTTTAAAACAACAGCACAAACACCAAGAGGCGACAGATGCACGCTCATAATACACCCCCCCCTAATGAAGGGGAATGCCTCGCACGCGTATGGAGACGCAGAGGGGCACTGCGAGAGGGTGGGGGAAATTCGACTTGATAGCAGCGACTCTCCTGAGCCGTTATGCTTCTACCATCGTTTCTTTACTGTATCGTTGTTTTCTCTCACGCACGCACGCAGTACTGTTTGGTTCAAATTCTCTCGCCTCAGCCCTGCGTGCGCCGCCGCTGCCGCTCGCTCTCGCGCTCTGCTCTTGACGTCCCCCCGACCACGGCGCGCGTGCGCAGACGGGGAGGAAAAATTTGTGCGCCACTCGTGCCGTTCTCCCCCCGCCGCGCAGCCGCCGTTGCCCCGCCGAAAGAAGAAGGAAAAAAGAAAAGAGTCTCCTCCACAGCAGCAGCAGCAGCAGCAATAAAAAGCTCACCCGAAGGAAAAACAACGACGACAACAACAAACACACACACAAAAAGGGCAAAAGACACAAAATGAAAAAAAAGAAAAAAGAAAAAAAAACACTCACACAAAACAAAACAAAGGAAGAGGAGACGGAGGGGGTGGAAAAGGCGGAGTCAGTGACAACATTCAGCAATCCGCCTACCCCCCCCACACACACCACCTGCTGCAGATAATATTGTTACGCACGGGTCCATACATACTCTTGTAGAGACAAATTACCTACATGTATGAAATATGGAAAGATAGCGCAGAGGAAGGCATGGGCGGGAAGCTTGACAAACACCATAGCCGTGGTTGCCAACTCCCTGCCACCCAACACACACAGACACACACACGCAGAAGGAAAGAAAAATAGTAACAACAACACCAAGTAGGAAGCATTACTAGTGATGGCGTTAACGTTGGCACAACCCCACCTTTTTTGCTCTGACTTTGATGCGGCGGCGGCGGCGGCGGCGAAGTGGATCACAGAAGAGAACTGTGCGCACATATCCCTATAATACAGGCCGTGAGCGATGCAAGCGACGGAAAAGGGGAGGAGGAGTTGGGGAGTGGAGTTCTCGAGTAGGATGGCAAAACACCGTGAGCAGTGCAGTGCTTTCCTCCGCGCCCCCTCTCCACTTTCTTGTGTCTCCCCAGTCCACCCGCCCCCACGCCGCAGCGATAGACATTTCCTCCCACCTCCCCTCTTCCCGCCTCCCACTTTATTTCCGTTTCTGCTTGAAACACTACTTTTGTGAATCGTCTGCGACGGCGGCGGCGGCGGCGGCTACGCGAGCGGGGACGGCAGCCGAGGGGAGGCGGGAGGAGGAGGCGGAGGAGGACGCGGTGGTGCGAGCCCCCTCGCGGACTTCCGCCGTGGCGTTGGTCGTGGTGACGCCGAACACCAAAAAGAAGACCACCTCGGCGATGTTCAGCTGGCCCAGCAGCTTGTCGGTGTCGGGGTCGACGAGAAAGAGCTCCTTCACCCGTTGCCGCACAAAGTGGACAAAGATGTCCCGCAGTGCGTCCTTGGCGTGGAAGACGCAGATCTTTTCGGTCACCATGGCCCCGAGGGCCTCGCGCACGGTGAGTTTCATGTCATACACCCCCTGGTCCTCGATGCGGACGACGTCGCTGCGATCAATGACGTCCACGATGATGCACTCCTCCGACACCACCGCGATGCTCTCTATGTTGTGCTGCAGCATGAGCCGCAGCGCCTTCAGCAGCGGGGAGTCGAGCGTGACGGAGATGGCGTGGCTGCGGTGCCGCCCTAGCTGGGGAATGTAGCAGAAGGGAACGTCGAATATGGCGCGGTACGGCCCCACCCGCGGCTCCTTTCCGAACTCCACCAGCGGATTGTCCCCCTCCCCGTCAGTGGGGGCGGAGAGGAGGTTGCGGACGTGCGGCGGCAGCACCACCTCGCCAAACAAGACGGCGAAGTCGGCGGGATCCACGCCGTCGCCGCGACCGCCACCGGCGGCAACGGCGCCGGGAACACCGACTGTGGAGTTCACGGCGGCATCCACCCCAGTTGCCACCTCCACGCCACGGCGTCCGCCGCCCGCCGCCTCAATGGAAAGGAAAACCGCCCCGAGGTACACGAGAATCTGCTGTAGATCCAGTATGGCTAACACGCTCGCGTCATCCGCTTCCTTGTCCGCCAGCACGGTGATGCGGCGGACGCGGTGACGCAGCAGCAGCTGCAGGCACTTGCTCAACGGCGTATCCGGGGCGCAGGTGACAAATACCGGGACCGGAAGCGACGAAGCGGGCTGCTTGCCGTCGACGCCCGAGGAGGCGCCGTACCGCTTCTCCCGCCACTGCCGTATCGTGTACCGTGAAAGCTGCTCCGCCTCCTCGGGGTGGTCGTGGGAGTAGAGCAGGATGTCGATGTAGTCGGTGGAGCTCATCATGCCACAAAAGGCGCGGGCAACGGGGTCCCACAAGACGCACGCGTTGAGTCGCGTCTCCTGGGCGGCGATGAACGCCACCGCCAGCACGGCGTCCACGTCGAGGACGACCACCTGCGTGGAGGCGCCTAACATGTCGTAGCTCGTGCAGCGCGAGAGAAACTCGGCGATGGGGGCGGCGAGGAGCTGGCACTCCTCGTCGTTCAGGTAGTACTCCGCCTCGAGGAAGACGTCGTGGTCCTGCAGCTGCTGCGAGACGTCGGTGAGGGGCGTGACCCCAACGCCGCGCCGCGTCCCGCCACTCGCGGCGGTGTACGAGCCGCGGAGGGCAAAGACGCTCGAGCGATGCATCCCTCCGCTCCGGGCCGCCGCTGGTCAGACGCACGCCGAGTTCACCCGGGAGGGGGAAGAGGGGATGAGGTGCCAAACAACACACACGCGCGGCAAAGGCAGGCAGGCGCAAAAAATGAGCTCTCCAGAAACGAAAGTTGGGGGCTGAAAAAGAGAAGAAGAAGAAAAAGAAAAAAGAAAAGAAAAGAA